CACAGGAGAGAACCAACAAACAACTCTACTCACATACTACACTAAGCTTGGGAATCGAACCCGGATCGCAATGATGAGAGACGAGCGCTCTCACCACTACACCAACCAGTAAATAGTTAGAGAATCAACATTGGATGATTTAACAATAATTTGAAAACCAAAAGAAACATTGAGTTTGGAGCTAAACAGTTGATGATTATCACAGCCGCCATGTTGGATGAACTTAACAAAACATTTTTCTTTAGTCTCATGTTATATCCTCCAACATGACCGCCTTGTCTTTTGTTATTTCATTCTCTCGAGAATGATCGAAAATCACCAAAAGACCCCTTGCAGCACACCGGAATAATATTCAATTTTGAGGACATAATAATATGTTTCCAATTCTCTTGAGATTGAAATTATTCTATTTTGTCCTCAAAATTGAGCTGCGTTGACGTCACATGCAAGTGCTCTATACCTTGCAATACAAAACTTCTAACCCAGAATACAATACATCTTGCAACACCAAGAAAAAAAAACATTCAAACTTGCAAAACTAGCGAATATATTCGTTTCYTATATAATTACCAATGAAATATCTATTTTTCTCTATTTCGAAAAATTGATATCTTCACACGTGAATATAACGTTATTTTCACGTGTGAAAATAACACCATTGCGATGGCTTTTCAAAAATACACGGAAAGAATTGCCTGAAAAAGCCAAAAACATTGATAATCATATAATAAACAGAATATTACATGGGCGCTTGAAGATACGAATTTTATCTTCTCGTGTTGAAAATATCTCACTCGTTCACTACACTCACTCGCGAGAGATCTTTTCAACACTCGAAGATAAAATTCGTATCTCCGCGCGCCCATGTAATATCCTCTATTTCTAACCTGGTAGTGATTCTGCCTTGCTTCATGACTTTCCAATAACTCAACCAGATCAGAGCCAAGCATGACTTTAAACCGTGGTAGTTGCTGAATCACTTGTTGTAAAGCCATCACTATCTCTAGTCTATAAATCGTATCATCTAGTACCGCCATCAGCCGTTGCGCTTCAATGCTTTCGATTGTCTTACGTGCTGGTTCGAGAATTTTACACGAGTTGGATAGATTTTCTTTCATTTGGCCGTGGAATCCTGGAACTGGGAGGTTGTTCTCGGCCGATCCTTCAACCGATGCCATATTAAACCCTCTGGAATTTTTTAAGCCGTTAAGAAATATCTCTACAAATGATTTTCGTCTATTTTAAGGTACACGTCACATGTCTTTATGACGTCATAATGAATTTCGCGCGCGCTTCTGAAAAATAAAGCCGCGCATGCGCGGCTAGTGATCAACATGTGGCGTTTAACAATCTCGTACCCAGAGCATGCGTTTCTTCTGGCCTGCGTCAAAGAATGAAGGCTCTGGCATAATCCATTTTTTTGAGACCAGGATTTCTTGGACTTCCGGTATAATAGCGCATACGTTAAAAGACTTGCCAATATGTATATATATATATATATATATATATTCCCGATTTCCAATTCTTATTTTGATCGGAAGAAAACACTGAACTCTGTTTGAAAGCAGGTTTGAAAGTATGATTTTCATTGTTAATGTTTCACTGACGCGCATGCGTCAAAAATGAATTATGCCAGAGCCCTCGTTCTTTGCCGCTGGCCGAAAGAAACGCCAGCTCTTGGTACGAGATTGTGTCGTTTTACCGAAACCTTTGTTTGTTTAAACAATATCAGACCCAGGCCAAGCTGGGGCGGATCAAAATACCGAGGTTTTGATAATTTACGAAATCTTGTTAAAATTCTTTTGAAATTGTTTCATTATGATTTGTAACAACTAACGATGAAGAAATTCTGCTTTGGAAATATTGCAAACGTATTTCAATCTCATTGTGACCTTGAGTGAACTTAACATGATGAATGTTATATTTGCAGCATACAATTTTGATAGTCAGATCATGCGCAGTAACTGAATTGCTCAACAATGCTTGTATTTCTTACGTCGCATGCTCGAATAGATATCAGAATAAGCAGGTTTCGGAGCCCAAAAATCGCTCCCAGTGCGCATGCGATTATATCCCGAATTTCTCATCCTTCCTTTRATAATTATTTAACTCGTTTTGGGGTACGTATAGATAATTTTAAGCCAAATATCTTTGACGGTTTAATCATAATATACTTTTATGCGCTATATTAAGGTTAAAAAATGTGCAAAAATGGTCTAAAAAGACTTAAACCAATAGCCAAATGTCCATTGTAAAATCGACCATTTGCCTAAAATTGATAAGAAATGCCCTATTTTGCATACATCTTAAAAAATGCACAACTTTTCGAAAGGTGTGTATATGGCCCAAAATCGATCAAAACCGTTAGTTATAGCCCATGCTTTTTGCCTAAAATTGCTCAAAAACACCCTATTTTGCATGTCTCATAAATAATGCACTTTTTTTTGAAAGATTTGAAAATAGGTGGAGTGGTCTTACCTCATTGGAATCGACCGGCATCGCACGTGCGAAATAAAGGCCGTAGGCCACATCCCCACKATGCCCGAATTTTCACCCACCCCCACCACGCCCTTCTGCACCCCACTTTAGTGTGTGTTTAGTCAGATGGGTATAAGGGAGTGATAGTGACATCATCAGTGACCGGCAACGCACGTGCGAAAAGTGCCCTCTAGGGGCCATATCCCGACCATGCCCGAATTTTGCGCTTTTTTCCAAAAAATATTCGAAAATAACCTATTTTGCATGGCTCATGAATAATGCATATCTTTTTAAAAGGTGTGAAAATGGCCCAAAATCAATCAAAACCATGGGCTATAGTCCATGCTTTTTGCCCGTAAATGACTTATTTTGCATATTTCGTAAATAATGCATATCTTTTTAAAAGGTGTGAAAATGGTCCAAAATCAATCAAAACCATGGGCTATAGTCCATGCTTTTTGCCCGTAAATG